TACTACACTATACACTACACTATACACTACACTAGTGCTGTACTAGTATACTACACTATACACTACACTAGTGCTGTACTAGTATACTACACTATACACTACACTAGTGCTGTACTAGTATACTACACTAAACACTACACTAGTGCTGTACTAGTATACTACACTATACACTACACTATACACTAGTGCTGTACTAGTATACTACACTATACACTACACTGTACACGACTGTAGTGCTGTACTAGTATACTACACTATACACTACACACTACTGTAGTGCTGTACTAGTAACGAATCGGCCACGTTCTGTTCACGTGACAGGCCCCTTACTGGTCTGGCCGTGTCGGGTGGTGGCGGGTTTAACGACACGGGTACGGATGACATCGTTAAAGCACGCACTACCTGTTACGCTATGGGGGGTGGGGGGTGGGATCTACGTCTCTTGTTCTGTCGCTGTTGTTGTCGTGAGAGTAACGAGAGAGATGCCAGGCGACGAACATGCGACCGTTGTTTTTAATGTCCATAATGGATGGGGGGGGGGGGGGTGGGGGGGGGCAAACCACAGGTAGACAATGCAGCAACTCGCTATAAGGGGGGGGGGTGAGCCCCCCACACACAGACGTGGGGGGGGGGGGGTGGGTGGGGGGCGGGAGGGGTCCGCGGCAAACCACAACCCCGTACCGTTACCGCGCGCAGTCCTACCCCTGGATAGACTCGGGGGCCCCCCCCAAAAAAATAAACAACAACCCCCCCCCACCCACCCACCCACCTCTTGCTCCACACACAAAACCAGACACGTGACTACCCCCTCTTCTCGATCGGGCAGTTTTACATTCACGGCCGTGACGTCGTAGCGAGCGCATGCATAAACGTGACGTCACAATGGGAGCACGTGCCTGGGGGACAGGAGGGCGGGGTGTGGGCGGGGTGTGGGTGGGGTGTGGGCGGGGGGTGGGCGGGGGGGGGGCGAGGTCACATGACCCTCCACCCTGACGTCACAAAGGGAGCACGTGCCTGGGGAAAGGGTGAGGTGTCACATGACCAAACCCAGGAAGCGCCTAACCCACCCCACCATGCCACCCACCCACCATGCCACCCACCCACCCACCATGCCACCCAGCCAGCCAGCCAGCCACCCACCATGTCACCATGCTACTATACAGAAATTGTAAGTTTCGTTCTAACCCCGCGTCAAACTACTTTTAGCCAACCCATGCAGCCTATCGTTTGTGAATGATTTGTTGTCGTTATCACCACTGCCTTGTCTCTGGCTCTCCTCACTCTCCCTCTCCTCACTCTCTCTCCTCTCTCTCTCCTCACTCTCACTTCTCTTTCTCTCCTCACTCTCCCTCTCCTCACTCTCCCTCTCCTCACTCTCCCTCTCCTCACTCTCTCTCTCCTCTCTCTCTCCTCACTCTCACTCCTCTCCCTCTCCTCACTCTCTCTCCTCACTCCCTCTCCTCTCTCTCTCCTCACTCTCACTCCTCTCCCTCTCCTCACTCTCTCTCCCCTCACTCTCCCTCCCCTCACTCTCCCTCCCCTCACTCTCACCACTCTCCCTCTCCCCTCACTCTCCCTCTCCTCACTCTCCCTCTCCTCACTCTCCCTCCCCTCAATCTCTCCCTCTCCTCACTCTCTCTCTCCTCACACTCTCTCTCCTCACACTCTCCCTCCTCACACTCTCCCTCCTCACACTCTCCCTCCTCACACTCTCCCTCCTCCCTCTCTCTCTCCTCTCTCTCTCCTCACTCTCTCCTCACTCTCTCCTCACTCTCTCCTCACCCTCTCCTCACTCTCCCTCTCCTCACTCTCTCTCCTCACTCCCTCCTCACTCTCTCTCTCCTCACTCTCTCTCTCCTCACTCTCTCTCTCCTCACTCTCTCTCTCCTCACTCTCCCTCCCCACTCTCTCTCTCCTCACTCTCTCTCTCCTCACTCTCTCTCTCCTCACTCTCTCTCTCCTCACTCTCTCTCTCTCCTCACTCTCTCTCTCCTCACTCTCTCTCTCCTCACTCTCTCTCTCCTCACTCTCTCTCTCCTCACTCTCTCTCTCCTCACTCTCTCTCTCCTCACTCTCTCTCTCCTCACTCTCTCTCTCCTCACTCTCTCTCTCCTCACTCTCTCTCTCCTCACTCTCTCTCTCCTCACTCTCTCTCTCCTCACTCTCTCTCTCCTCACTCTCTCTCTCTTCACTCTCTCTCTCCTCACTCTCTCTCTCCTCACTCTCTCTCTCCTCACTCTCTCTCTCCTCACTCTCTCTCTCTCCTCACTCTCTCTCTCTCCTCACTCTCTCTCTCTCCTCACTCTCTCTCTCTCCTCACTCTCTCTCTCTCCTCACTCTCTCTCTCTCCTCACTCTCTCTCTCCTCACTCTCTCTCTCCTCACTCTCTCTCTCCTCACTCTCCCTCTCCTCACTCTCCCTCTCCTCACTCTCCCTCTCCTCACTCTCCCTCTCCTCACTCTCCCTCTCCTCACTCTCCCTCTCCTCACTCTCCTCACTCTCCCTCTCCTCTTTCTCTCCTCTCTCTCTCCTATCTTCACTCTACTCCCTTTCTGTCTTTCCCTCTCTACGCTCTTCTGCCAAGGTGTAACAGGAGATCCTCCTCATCCAGAGCTCGCTACGGAACTTAATTTTTCTTTCTTTTCCAGAAGCTGACACATGGGGGCATCATTGCAAACCCTGAAATACAGCGAGATGGAGTGGCGGACTAAAGTCACTCATCATCACATTGAGACCCACAGACTCGCGCAGAGACTCACACTCACGTAGAGAGCCATAGACTCACGTAGAGAGCCATAGACTCGAACAGAGAGTGAGACCGTGCTAGTTCGTGAGTCTCTGTGTGAGTCCGTGGGTCTCTGGGCGAGTCTGAGTCTCTGCGTGAGTCTGAGTCTCTGCGTGAGTCTGAGTCTCTGCGTGAGTCTGAGTCTCTACGTGAGTCTGTGAGTCTCTGTGTTAGTCCGTGGGTCTCTATGTGAGTCCGTGGGTCTTTGTGTGAGTCCGTGGGTCTCTGTGTGAGTCCGTGGGCCTCTGCGTGGTGAGTCTGTGGGTCTCTGTGCGAGTCTGTGGGTCTCTGTGCGAGTCTGTGGGTCTCTGCGTGAGTCTGTGGGTCTCTGCGTGAGTCTGTGGGTCTCTGCGTGAGTCTGTGGGTCTCTGCGTGAGTCTGTGGGTCTCTGCGTGAGTCTGTGGGTCTCTGCGTGAGTCTGTGGGTCTCTGCGTGAGTCTGTGGGTCTCTGCGTGAGTCTGTGGGTCTCTGCGTGAGTCTGTGGGTCTCTGCGTGAGTCTGTGGGTCTCTGCGTGAGTCTGTGGGTCTCTGCGTGAGTCTGTGGGTCTCTGCGTGAGTCTGTGGGTCTCTGCGTGAGTCTATGGGTCTCTATGTGAGTCCGTGGGTCTCTGCATGAGTCTGTGGGTCTCTGTGTGATGAGTCTGTGGGTCTCTGCGTGAGTGAGTCTGTGGGTCTCTGCGTGAGTGAGTCTGTGGATCTCTGTGTGATGAGTCTGTGGGTCTCTGTGTGATGAGTCTGTGGGTCTCTGTGTGATGAGTCTGTGGGTCTCTGTGTGATGAGTCTGTGGGTCTCTGTGTGATGAGTCTGTGGGTCTCTGTGTGATGAGTCTGTGGGTCTCTGCGTGAGTCTGTGGGTCTCTGCGTGAGTCTGTGGGTCTCTGTGTGAGTCTGTGGGTCTCTGCGTGAGTCTGTGGGTCTCTGCGTGAGTCTGTGGGTCTCTGCGTGAGTCTGTGGGTCTCTGCGTGAGTCTGTGGGTCTCTGCGTGAGTCTGTGGGTCTCTGTGTGAGTGTGGGTCTCTGTGTGAGTGTGGGTCTCTGTGTGAGTGTGGGTCTCTGTGTGATGACTCTGTGGGTCTCTGTGTGATGAGTCTGTGGGTCTCTGTGTGATGAGTCTGTGGGTCTCTGTGTGGTGAGTCTGTGGGTCTCTGCGTGATGAGTCTGTGGGTCTCTGTGTGATGAGTCTGTGGGTCTCTGTGTGAGTGTGGGTCTCTGTGTGATGACTCTGTGGGTCTCTGTGTGATGAGTCTGTGGGTCTCTGTGTGATGACTCTGTGGGTCTCTGCGTGATGAGTCTGTGGGTCTCGACGCGAGAGACTTGTAGACACACATCAGCGCTCAATTTCTGGCTGAACATTCCGCATTGCTTGGGTAGCCTCCAGTAGGTGGACACGTGACTAGTTGTAGTCGTGGCTCTTTAATACGAGCCAGTAGTTGTAGTTCGTTACAGCTAGTGGTTTGCAATAGCTCGTCGTTATAGCTAGTTGTTAAACCTAATCGTTATAGGTAGTCGTTACAGTGAGTCGGTGCGTGTGGTGTGGAAGACGACAGGGACGAGGAGATGAAGGGGGGAGGTTTGCTACGGCAGAGACATCGAGAGGAGAGAGAGAGATGAGACAGAGAAAGAGGAGAGCAGAGAGAGATAAGAGAGAGATAAGAGAGAGATGAGAGAGAGATGAGAGAGAGATGAGAGAGAGATGAGAGAGAGATGAGAGAGAGATGAGAGAGAGATGAGAGAGAGATGAGAGAGAGATGAGAGAGAGATGAGAGAGAGATGAGAGAGAGATGAGAGAGAGATGAGAGAGAGATGAGAGAGAGATGAGAGAGAGATGAGAGAGAGATGAGAGAGAGATACGAGAGAGATACGAGAGAGATACGAGAGAGATACGAGAGAGATACGAGAGAGATACGAGAGAGATAAGAGAGAGATAAGAGAGAGACAAGAGAGAGACAAGAGAGAGACAAGAGAGAGATAAGAGAGAGACAAGAGAGAGACAAGAGAGAGATAAGAGAGAGATCAGAGAGAGATAAGAGAGAGATAAGAGAGATAAGAGAGAGCAGAGAGAGATAAGAGAGAGATAAGAGAGAGATAAGAGAGAGATAAGAGAGATAAGAGAGATACGAGAGAGATAAGAGAGATAAACTAACATCAGGAGGCATCAGGATCAGTGTTGTTACAAAAATCCTAGAAAAACAAAACTGTGGGTTTTCCTTTTTGCATTTGGGGGGGGGGGGGGGGACCCCCATTCTGGATTCCGAGCCGACTTTGCAGATACACCTTGCAGATGAAGAGACAACTTGGGCTGTTTTATAGATTTATAGATCCAGAGAATTGTGGATTTTAAAATTTAGGGGGGGGGGGAGGGAGTAAATATCACTACACTGCTGTGAAATCCCAGGGAAATGTGGACAAAAAATAATAATGATGAGTCGTGGTGATGATGATTGTGGTGATAACATTGATGACCATGGCGGTGATGATGCTGAAGATGGTATGACCATGGTGACGTTGAAAATGGTATGACCATGGTGATGATGTTGAAGATGGTATGACCATGGTGGAGGTGACGATGTTGAAGATGGTATGACCATGCTGATGGTGACGATGCTGAAGATGGTATGACCATGCTGACGATACTGAAGATGGTATGACCATGCTGGTGATGCTGACGATGGTATGACCATGCTGACGATGCTGAAGTTGGTATGACCATGGTGATGGTGACGATGTTGAAGATGGTATGACCATGCTGATGGTGACGATACTGAAGATGGTATGACCATGCTGACGATGCTGAAGATGGTATGACCATGGTGATGGTGATGATGCTGAAGATGGTATGACCATGGTGATGGTGACGATGTTGAAGATGGTATGACCATGCTGATGGTGATGATGCTGAAGATGGTATGACCATGCTGATGATGCTGAAGATGGTATGACCATGCTGACGATGCTGAAGATGGTATGACCATGGTGATGGTGACGATGCTGAATATGGTATGACCATGCTGATGGTGACGATGCTGAAGATGGTATGACCATGGTGATGGTGATGATGCTGAAGATGGTATGACCATGGTGATGGTGACGATGCTGAAGATGGTATGACCATGCTGACGATGCTGACGATGGTATGACCATGCTGATGATGACGATGCTGAAGATGGTATGACCATGGTGATGGTGACGATGCTGAAGATGGTATGACCATGGTGATGGTGACGATGCTGAAGATGGTATGACCATGCTGATGATGACGATGCTGAAGATGGTATGACCATGCTGACGATGCTGAAGATGGTATGACCATGCTGATGGTGACGATGCTGAAGATGGTATGACCATGGTGATGGTGACGATGCTGAAGATGGTATGACCATGGTGATGGTGACAATGCTGAAAATGGTATGACCATGCTGACGGTGACAATGCTGAAAATGGTATGACCATGCTGACGATGCTGAAGATGGTATGACCATGGTGATGGTGATGATGCTGAAGATGGTATGACCATGGTGATGATGGTGACGATGCTGAAGATGGTATGACCATGGTGATGGTGATGATGCTGAAGATGGTATGACCATGGTGATGGTGACGATGCTGAAAATGGTATGACCATGCTGATGATGCTGAAGATGGTATGACCATGCTGATGGTGACGATGCTGAAGATGGTATGACCATGGTGATGATGCTGAAGATGGTATGACCATGGTGATGCTGAACATGGTATGACCATAGTGCTGAAGATGCTGAAGATGGTATGACCATGCTGATGATGCTGAAGATGGTATGACCATGCTGATGGTGACGATGCTGAAGATGGTATGACCATGCTGACGATGCTGAAGATGGTATGACCATGCTGACAATGCTGAAGATGGTATGACCATGCTGATGGTGACGATGCTGAAGATGGTATGACCATGCTGATGGTGACGATGCTGAAGATGGTATGACCATGCTGATGGTGACGATGCTGAAGATGGTATGACCATGGTGATGATGCTGAAGATGGTATGACCATGGTGACGTTGAAAATGGTATGACCATGCTGACGATGCTGAAGACGGTATGACCATGCTGATTATAATCATGCTGGTGGGGGTGATGATAACGATGTTGACGATGGTAACAGTGCCGGTGATGACGAACGCGGTGGTGACGGTGGAGGAACCGGCGGTGACGGCGGAGGAACCGGTGGTGACGGTGGTGACGGTGGAGGAATCGGCGGTGACGGTGGAGGAACCGGTGGTGACGGTGGAGGAACCGGTGGTGACGGTGGAGGAACCGGTGGTGACGGTGGAGGAACCGGTGGTGACGGTGGAGGAACCGGCGGTGACGGTGGAGGAACCGGTGGTGACGGTGGAGGAACCGGTGGTGACGGTGGTGACGGTGGAGGAATCGGCGGTGACGGTGGGGGAACCGGTGGTGACGGTGGAGGAACCGGTGGTGACGGTGGAGGAACCGGTGGTGACGGTGGAGGAACCGGTGGTGACGGTGGAGGAACCGGTGATGACGGTGGAGGAATCGGCGGTGACGGTGGAGGAACCGGTGGTGACGGTGGAGGAACCGGTGGTGACGGTGGAGGAACCGGTGGTGACGGTGGAGGAACCGGGAGTGACGCTGGGGGAACCGGTGGTGACGGTGGAGGAACCGGTGGTGACGGTGGAGGAACCGGTGATGACGGTGGAGGAATCGGCGGTGACGGTGGAGGAACCGGTGGTGACGGTGGAGGAACCGGTGGTGACGGTGGAGGAACCGGTGGTGACGGTGGAGGAACCGGGAGTGACGCTGGGGGAACCGGTGGTGACGGTGGAGGAATCGGCGGTGACGGTGGAGGAACCGGTGGTGACAGTGGAGGAACCGGTGGTGACGGTGGAGGAATCGGTGGTGACGGTGGTGACGGTGGAGGAACCGGTGGTGACGGTGGTGAAACCGGTGGTGACGGTGGGGGAACCGGTGGTGACGGTGGTGAAACCGGCGGTGACGGCGGAGGAATCGGCGGTGACGGTGGAGGAACCGGTGGTGACAGTGGAGGAACCGGTGGTGACGGTGGAGGAATCGGCCGTGACGGCGGTGACGGTGGGGGAACCGGCGGTGACGCTGTGGGAATCGGCGACTCCCAAGCGGTGCAATGGCGTTGTCCTCTCGTGGTCCAACCAGGTTTCTGGACGCATCCTGACTGGCGGGGAATGGCGCAAGAGAATTTACGTGATAATCATCATCATCATCATCGTCATCATCATCGTCGTCGTCATCATCGTCATCATCATCATCATCATCGTCGTCGTCATCAACATCGTCGTCATCATCGCCATTGTTGTCATCATCATCATCATCGTCGTAGTAGTGTGGTGTTTGTTGTAGTTGTAGTAGTGTGGTTGTTGTTGTAGTAGTGTGGTTGTTGTAGTGTGGTTGTTGTAGTAGTGTGGTTGTTGTTGTTGTAATGTGGTTGTTGTTGTTGTTGTAGTAGTGTGGTTGTTGTTGTAGTTTGGTTGTTGTTGTAGTAGTTTGGTTGTTGTTGTAGTAGTGTGGTTGTTGTAATAGTGTGGTTGTTGTTGTTGTTGCAATAGTGTGGTTGTAGTTGTGGAAGTGTGGTTGTTGCCGTAGTAGTGTGGTTGTTGTTGTAGTAGTGTGGTTGTTGTAGTAGTGTGGTTGTGGTTGTTGTGGTAGTGTGGTTGTTGTTGTGGTAGTGTGGTTGTTGTTGTAGTAGTGTGGTTGTTGTAGTAGTGTGGTTGTGGTTGTTGTAGTAGTGTGGTTGTGGTTGTTGTAGTAGTGTGGTTGTGGTTGTTGTGGTAGTGTGGTTGTGGTTGTTGTGGTAGTGTGGTTGTTGTTGTGGTAGTGTGGTTGTTGTTGTAGTAGTGTGGTTGTAGTAGTGTGGTTGTAGTAGTGTGGTTGTTGTAGTAGTGTGGTTGTTGTTGTAGTAGCTGTGATTGTTGTAGTAGTGTGGTTGTTGTTGTAGTAGTGTGGTTGATGTTGTAGTAGTGTGGTTGTTGTTGTAGTAGTGTGGTTGTGGTTGTAGTAGTGTGGTTGTGGTTGTTGTAGTAGTGTGGTTGTGGTTGTAGTAGTGCGGTTGTTGTTGTAGTAGTGTGGTTGTTGTTGTAGTAGTGTGGTTGTTGTTGTAGTAGTGTGGTTGTTGTTGTAGTAGTGTGGTTGTTGTAGTAGTAGTGTGGTTGTAGTAGTGTGGTTGTGGTTGTAGTAGTGTGGTTGTTGTAGTAGTGTGGTTGTTGTTGTAGTAGTGTGGTTGTTGTAGTAGTGTGGTTGTTGTAGTAGTGTGGTTGTTGTTGTAGTAGTGTGGTTGTTGTAGTAGTGTGGTTGTGGTTGTCGTAGTGTGGTTGTTGTTGTCGTAGTGTGGTTGTAGTAGTGTGGTTGTTGTTGTAGTAGTGTGGTTGTGGTTGTCGTAGTGTGGTTGTGGTAGTGTGGTTGTCTGGTTGTGGTTGTTGCTGCTTCGCTTGCCATTTATGTTGTTGTTGTTGTTGCTATCCCTGCTGCGTCAAGGACGGCTGCAGTTGCAGCTGCAACTGGTGGTGGTGATGATGGTGGTGGTGGTTGTTGTTGTTGTTGGTTGTTGTCTCGTCGTTGTTGTTGGCCGTGTCAAAGTTGTTGCCACCGCCAGCCTTGGTGGTTGGGTTGTTGACCACGCGATCGGTTGTTGTTGCAGCTGGTGCTGCTACAGCTGGTGCTGCTGCAGCTGCTCTTGCTGCAACTGCTGTTGCAGCTGCTGGTGCAACTGCTGCAACTGCTGTTGCTGCTGCTGGTGCAACTGCTGTTGCTGCAACTGCTGTTGCTGCAACTGCTGTTGCAGCTGGTGCTGCAACTGCTGCAGCTGCTGTTGCAGCTGGTGCTGCAACTGCTGTTGCAGGTGGTGCTGCAACTGCTGTTGCAGCTGGTGCTGCAACTGCTGTTGCAGCTGGTGCTGCAACTGCTGTTGCAGCTGGTGCTGCAACTGTTGTTGCTGCAACTGCTGTTGTGGCTGCTGGTGCTGCTGCAACTGCTGTTGCTGCTGCTGGTGCAACTGCTGCAACTGCTGTTGCTGCAACTGCTGTTGCTGCAACTGCTGTTGCTGCAACTGCTGTTGCTGCAACTGCTGTTGTTGCTGCAACTGCTGTTGTGGCTGCTGTTGCTGCTGCTGGTGCTGTTGTTGCTGCTGGTGCTGCTGCAACTGTTGGTGCTGCAACTGTTGCCGCTTCGACTGTTGTTGCTGCTGTTGCCGTGGTGGTGGTGGTGGTGTTGCGGGTGAAGCTGCAGAATGACAGGCTGTAGTGGTTCGTGAACTGGGCGAGCTGACGAGTCAGCAGCTCGAAGCCGGCAACGGCCGGGGACGAGGCGGCAGACACGCGGCACGGAGATGTCTACACAACAACCACAACAACCACAACAACGGCAACAACAACCACAACAACGTCAACAACGTCAACAACAACAACCACAACAACAACCACAACGTCAACAACAACCACAACAACAACGTCAATAACAACCACGACACCCAAAACGTCTACACAACAACCACAACAACAACAACCACAACAACGGCAACAACAACCACAACAACGTCAACAACGTCAACAACAACAACCACAACAACAACCACAACGTCAACAACAACCACAACAACAACGTCAATAACAACCACGACACCCAAAACGTCTACACAACAACCACAACAACAACAACCACAACAACGTCAACAACAACCACAACAACGTCAACAACGTCAACAACAACCACAACAACAACCACAACAACGTCAACAACAACAACCACAACAATGTCAACCACGACACCCAAAACGTCTACACAACAACAACCACAACAACAATGTCAACAACAACCACTACACCCACGTCAACGACAACCACTACACCCACGTCAACGACAACCACTACACCCACGTCAACAACCACTACACCCACGTCAACAACCACTACACCCACATCAACCACAATCACAACAACCACAACAATGTCAATAACAACAACCACGACACCCACAACGTCAACAACAACCACCACAGCGAAAACGTCAACAACCACAACAACAACCACCACCATAGCCACAACCACCACCACCGCCACAACCACAACCACCACAACAACCACGTCAACAACAACCACAACAACAACCACCACAGCCACATCAACAGCCATCACCAAGCAGCAACGATGTTACTCAACAACAACTGCAACCACTGCAAGGTCAACAATGTCAACCACCACAGCCACAACGTCAACAACAACAACCACAACAACAACCACCACCACCACCACAGCCACAACCACAACAACCACCACAGCCACAACAACAACCACAACAACCAGCAATGATGTTAAACAACAACCACAACAACCACGACGTCAACAACCAAAAGGTCAACAAGCACCACAACGTCAACAACCACAACAACCACCACAGCCACGTCAACAACAACCACAACAACCACCACAGCCACCATCACGTTACTAACCAACCACAACAACCACCACCACCACAACAACCACAACAGCGTCAACAACCACCATTACAACTACAACCACCACCACCACGAGGTTACCCAACAACAATGGGACGATCAGCAACCACAATCAACGAGCTGCAACATCACTCAGTCAGTGAGTGTGTGAGTGTGTTTGTGAGTGAGTGTGTGTGTGAGTGTGTGTGAGTGAGTGTGTGTGAGTGTGTGTGTGTGAGTGTGTGTGTGTGAGTGTGTGTGTGTGAGTGTGTGAGTGAGTGTGTGAGTGAGAGTGTGTGAGAGTGTGTGAGTGTGAGTGTGTGTGAGTGTGTGGGTGAGTGTGAGAGTGTGTGTGTGAGTGAGTGAGAGTGTGAGTGAGTGTGTGTGTGAGTGAGTGTGTGAGTGTGTGTGTGTGAGTGTGTGAGTGAGTGAGTGTGTGTGAGTGTGAGTGAATGTGTGTGTGTGTGAGTGAGTGTGTGTGTGAGTGAGTGTGTGAGTGAGTGTGTGTGAGTGAGTGTGTGTGAGTGAGTGTGGGTAAGTGTGAGTGTGTTGGAGTGAGTGAGAGTGTGAGTGTGTGTGAGTGTGAGAGTGAGTGAGTGTGTGAGTGAGAGTGTGTGAGTGTGTGGGTGTGTGGGTGAGTGGGTGAGTGAGTGTGTGGGTGAGTGAGCGAGCGAGCGAGTGATTGAGTGTGCGAGTGTGTGTGTGAATGTGAGTGAGAGTGTGTGAGTGTGTGGGTGTGTGGGCGAGTGGGTGTGTGAGTGTGTGAGTGAGTGTGTGTGTGAGTGTAAGTGAGAGTGAGTGAGAGTGTGAGTGTGTGTGAGTGTGAGAGTGAGTGTGTGAGTGAGAGTGTGTGAGTGTGTGAGTGTGTGGGTGTGTGGGTGAGTGGGTGAGTGAGTGTGTGGGTGAGTGAGCGAGCGAGCGAGTGATTGAGTGTGCGAGTGTGTGTGTGAGTGAGAGTGTGTGAGTGTGTGGGTGTGTGGGCGAGTGGGTGTGTGAGTGTGTGAGTGAGTGTGTGTGTGAGTGTAAGTGAGAGTGTGTGAGTGTGTGAGTGAGTGTGTGAGTGAGTGAGTGTGTGAGTGAGTGTGTGAGTGAGAGTGTGTGAGTGTGTGGGTGTGTGGGTGTGTGGGCGAGTGGGTGAGTGAGGGTGTGGGTGAGTGAGTGAGCGAGCGAGTGATTGAGTGTGCGAGTGTGTGTGTGAATGAGGGAGTGTGCGAGTGAGTGACCTCGTTAAAGAAGAGGGTGGTGATGAAGCGACCGGGCTGGAAGACACGCGTCACGTGAGCGACGAGGTCGTCGTAGGAGTCCAGGGCGACGTTCGTCTCAAAGCTGACGTAGGAGAAGCCGGACTCAGGGGTGACGTGGATAGTCCAATACACACCCTAACACATACACACACACACGGTGACACACACACACACACGGTGACACACACACACACGGTGACACACACCCACACACACGGTGACACACACCCACACACACGGTGACGCACACACACACGGTGACACACACACGGGTGACACACACACACACACACGGTGACACACACGGTGACACAACAACAACAACAACCGCCATTCGCCACTAAGTGGCGGTGACGTCACCACGACGCTTGTGCCAGGCTATGTGCACCCTGAGGCCACGTGAAGTGTCGAACGCCCGCTGGCAGGAGGTCACGGGGCAGACCCAGGTGCCACGGGTCGACTGAGATGACTGGCTGATGCACCACCTGTGCCCCCTACTGTGCCAACCTGCTGTGCTTTAGCCACCCGGCGCTCCGCTCGCTGTTGTGAGCGTCGCTCCTCCCCCTCCGTTATTGTTGGAGGGCGACTGCCTCCAACTGCCCAGTAGCAGCGTCCTTCACGAGCCTCCTCCACAGAGGCCGATCTTGACACCGCTGGTACCAGTCATCGGCAAGTCCACTCAGCTCCACGTCCTCCTGTACCACATCACTCCATCTCTTCTCTAGCCCGTGCCGCGTCCGCTTTGCCCCCTCAATCCGGCCGAACAAAAGCTGTTTCGGCATGCGGTGGCTGGGCATGTGGGCTACATGACCCAGCCATCGCAGCCTTGCCTGCCGGAGCTCACCGATGGGACGTTGTCCAGATCTATCGAGGATTTGTGAGCTCCTCGCACAATCCAGCCTGGTTAAACCCAGGATGGATCGTAGGCAGGTCAGCCTAAATGTTTCTAACCGGCGAAGATGTTCCATTAGGGGGGTCCACGTTTCGCAAGCGTAGATAAGAGAGGGAATGACCGTGGCCGAGAAGACCTGAAGCTTAGTGCCGAGCGACAGACCAAGTAGCTTCCACACAGCGATACGCAACCGCTGAAAAGATATTGCCGCTCGACTGATTCGGAGCCGGCCATGAGCACACTGCCCAGGTATGGGAAACTCTCCACTCTATCCACAACTGCCCCATCACCAATTGTGGGTGAAGTGTCTGATGGTGCAAATACCCAGGCAGGTGCTTAGTTTTAGTGGGGCTGATGGTAAGGCCCCACCTCTTAGTGGCAAGCTCCAAGTTCAGCAGCAGCACCTCCAACTCCTCCTCTGAGGTAGTGGCAAATACCAGATCGGCATACATAACGTGGTTGACCAATAGGGAGCCATCCCTTGACCGCACCCGGGCATCAATCAGCCTCCCATTGTATCTGTACCAGATGGAAATTCCTCTGGTCGAGCCATCAAAAGCTTCCCAAACTACGTGGTCAAAGATGACATTAAATAATGTGGGAGCCAGAGGACATCCCTGTCGCACCCCAAGGTGTACAGGGAATGGCTCCGACTCCCTGCCTCATAGTTTTACCCGAGCCCGCTCACCATCATGAAGGTCCTTAATGATTGAGCAGAGTCTGGGACTCCGAAAGCATGAAGAACCCAGAGCCCAGGCCTACTGATGGTATCATAGGCCTTGACCAGGTCAATAAAGCAGAGATGTAGGTCTTGTTGGAATTCCCTACATCTCTGCTGTAGCAGACGGACAGAAAATATGGCATCTGTGCAGGACCGCCCTTTCCTGAAACCACATTGGGGCTCCGCAAGCCTCTCCTCAGCGTGCCTGGCAAGGCGATGTTGAATAATCCTTGCCAGGACCTTTCCCGGCACACTTAAGAGTGAGATGCCCCTGTAGTTGTTACAGTCTGTGCAGTCCCCCTTCTTAAAGAGGGGGACCACCAGGGCATCCTTCAAATCCTGCGGAACCCGTCCAGTGATGCAGACTGTTGTTATGATGTCATGTAGGGCTGTCCGTGCACAAATGCCACCCTCCCTCAGCATTCGCTTGGGAGATCATCTCTACCCAGTGCCTTTCCTGGTCTCAGACTCCGGATCGCCTTCAGTACTTCCTCAACAGATGGCACCTCAGCCAGCCGCTCACAGGGGGTGACTTCTTCCAATATTTGAGGCACTGCAGCCTCAGCAGGGTCATCCCCACTTTGTGCCATGATGTTTTCCAGGCTGAAGGATTTCCCCTCCCTCAGGACCTCAAATAAATGCTCAGCAAATCTGCAAACCTGTTCCTGGGGGTCGGAGATTGGATCATCATTCTTTCCCCTAATGAAGGTAATAGGTATGGTGCTGCAATTTACTTTTTGATGGAATTAAAGAGCGATTTGTGATCGCGGGCCACTGAGGCAGAATCCATCTAATCAGCAACCCGCGACCACCACCCTTGTAATGCCTCACAGCTCTCCGAACCTTCGAGCGAAGGCTGCGGTAAGCTTCCGCATTCTCTGACGTGGGATGCTGTAGATGAGTGGGCCTGTTGCTTTTTCTCAGCCAGCTTGAACACATCCTCTGTCAGCCAGGATCTCTGGGGAGGTCTGGACTGTGTACCCAAGGCAGCTATTGCAGCTGCCTGAGCCACAGTACTAAACTTCGCCCATTTCCCCTCGACATCAGGAGTGGGGGACGATGCCAACCCCAGCCGCTAGTGATGGTGAAATTCTCGTTTGAAACTTTCCTCAGCGAGCTGATACCAGGCCACTAAGGGTTTGCATGGGGTCCTGGGTCTACACCCACCACTGGAGTGGAAGAATGGCAGGTGCATCTTACAGATGACAAGTCGATGGTCAGTGGGCAGATCAGCTCCACGGTAGGTCCTGGTGTCAAGGACATGGGCTCGCATCCGCTGTTCCGTCACTATGTAGTCCAGCAGATGTTCTTGCTTGGACCCGGCATGCATCCACGATGTTGTGCGGATTGCGCCGATGCCGGAACAGCGTGTTGGTAATTACAAGCCCATGTACTGCACACAAATCTAGCAGCCTCCTGCCGTTGTTATAGAGCTGATCTGGCCCATGCCCTCCAATCACTCCAGACCAGGTGCCAGCATCATGACCAACTCGGGCATTGAAGTCACCCAACAAGATGACTATCCCGAGGGGCCACTTTAGCACGCACCTGTGACAGGAGGTCATCGGCCTTGCCTGCATCCCTCCACGGATGTTCATCTTCGCCTCTGGTTGATGGGAAGGCGAGCCCACAGTAGCCTGGGGCTTACAGCTTCCCACACCGCCACGCTCCCACCCCCCCCTTCATTCTTTTGTTCAAAAGAAGTGCCACTCCCTGTTGTGTGGAAGTCTCCTGCCCTGAGTAGAGGACTGTCCACCCCTCATGGTGACACACACGGTGAGATACACACACGGTGACACACACACACACACAAAACAATCAGTATTTATACTGCAAGAGGAATCCGATGAGCTTTAAAGCCCTGTCACAGATGTCACACACTCTGTACAACAGGGGGAGATCACACGCCTCCCCCAGCGTCTTCCTCCCTCTCCCCGTGTCTCTCTCTCCCTCCCCGTGTCTCTCTCCCTCCCTCTCCCCGTGTCTCCCTCTCCCCCCGTGTCTCCCTCTATCCCCGTGTCTCTCTCTCTCTCCCCGTGTCTCTCCCTCCCTCTCCCCGTGTCTCCCTCTCCCCCCGTGTCTCCCTCTATCCCCGTGTCTCTCTCTCTCCCCGTGTCTCTCTCTCTCTCTCCCCGTGTCTCTCCCTCTATCCCCGTGTCTCTCTCTCCCCGTGTCTCTCTCTCTCTCCCCGTGTCTCTCTCTCTCTCCCCGTGTGTGTCTCTCTCTCTCTCCCCGTGTCTCTCTCTCTCTCCCCGTGTCTCTCTCTCTCTCTCTCTCTCCCCGTGTCTCTCTCTCCCCGTGTCCCTCTCTCTCTCCCCGTGTCTCTCTCTCTCCCCGTGTCCCTCTCTCTCCCCGTGTCCCTCTCTCTCCCCGTGTCCCTCTCTCTCCCCGTGTCCCTCTCTCTCCGCGTCTCTCTCTCTCTCCCCGTGTCTCTCTCTCTCGCTCCCCGTGTCTCTCTCTCTCTCTCCGTACGTTGTCCGTGAGTCCGTTCATCGAGTATCCACATGGATCAAATAGAACTTCATCGATGATGGATCCGGGAATGAGGTCTGCGATTCCACTCATCTGCACAGAAACAAGACAGATCACTGGGTCACGCGTGCAGCACACGCATCGCACACGCGTCACACATCACACACAAACACCGTATAGCCTTAACAGACTGTAGGGGCAAGTGCTGTTAGCGAGTAGCAGCACTTATGAAGGCCGGCACGGCACACGAGGCGGTGGGTGGCCAGCACCACGCCCGGCCACCTTTGTCTCCCCAGTGGTAGCGATGTTTACTACACACTGCACCAGGCGCTCATTTGAGGCTGAGTCGACCTAGGGGAGGCCCAGGACCGGATCAGATAATCGTCAGTGCGTGTTGGCCGTGAGTGAGTCGCCAGGTTCGTAGCGCAGCGTAGCGCTAACCGCTGCACCACTACTCCCACACACACACAGTTACACACATACACAGCACGCCACACACACACTCAGCACGCTACACACAGCATGCTACACACAACAACAACCGCCATTCGCTACTAAGTGGCGGTGACGTCACCACGACGCTTGTGCCAGGCTATGTACACATTGAGGCCACGTGAAGTGTTGAATGCCCGCTGGCAGGAGGTCACGGGGCAGACCCAAGTGCCACGGGTCGACTGACTGAGATGACTGGCCGATGCAAACACAGCACGCGACACACACAGCATGCCACGCCACACACACAGTTACACACACACCACACTACTCACACAGAGCACACACACACCACACTACTCACACAGAGCACACACACACCACACTACTCACAGAGCACACACACACCACACTACTCACAGAGCACACACACACCACACTACTCACAGAGCACACACACACCACACTACTCACAGAGCACACACACACACCACACTACTCACAGAGCACACACACACACCACACTACTCACACAGAGCACACACACACATCACACTACTCACACAAAGCACACACACATCACACTACTCACACAGAGCACACACACACCACACTACTCACACAGAGCACACCACACACACAGCACGCTACACACACACACCACACTACTCACACAGAGCACGCACACACCACACTACTCACACAGAGCACACACACACACACCACACTACTCACACAGAGCACACACACACCACACTACTCACAAAAAGCACACCACACACCACACTACTCACACAGAGCACACCACACACACACCACACTACTCACAAAAAGCACACCACACACCACACTACTCACACAGAGCACACCACACACACCACACTACACACACAGAGCACACCACACACCACACTACTCACAAAAAGCACACCACACTACTCACAAAGAGCACACCACACACCACACTACTCACACAGAGCACACACACACACCACACTACTCACACAGAGCACACACACACCACACTACTCACACAGAGCACACCACACACACACAGCACGCTACACACACACCACACTACTCACACAGTTACACACACACCACACTACTCACACAGAGCACACACACACCACACCACTCACACAGAGCACACACACACACCACACTACTCACACAGAGCACACACACACTACACACTACTCACACAGAGCACACACACACCACACCACACTACTCACACAGAGCACACCACACACACACACCACACTACTCACACATACCACACACACCACACTACTCACACAGAGCACATACACACCACACTACTCACACAGAGCACACACACACCACACTACTCACACAGAGCACACACACACACACCACACTACTCACACAGAGCACACCACACACACACACCACACTACTCACACAGAGCACACACACACCACACTACTCACACAGAGCGCACACACACACCACACTACTCACACAGAGCACACCACACACACAGCACGCTACACACACACACCACACTACTCGAGCACACCACACACACACACACCACACTACTCACACACACCACACACACACACCACACTACTCACACACACCACACACACACACCACACTACTCACACAGAGCACACACACACCACACTACTCACACAGAGCACACACACACCACACTACTCACAGAGCACACACACACACCACACTACTCACAGAGCACACACACACACCACACTACTCACAGAGCACACACAGAGCACACCACACTACTCACAGAGCACACACAGAGCACACCACACTACTCACAGAGCACACACAGAGCACACCACACTACTCACACAGAGCACACACACACACACACACTACTCACACAGAGCACACACACACCACACTACTCACACAGAGCACACCCACACCACACTACTCACACAGAGCACACCACACACACACACACAGCACGCTACACACAGAGCACACCACACACACACACAGCACACTACACACACCACACTACTCGCACAGAGCACACCACACACACACACCACAACACACACACACCACACTACTCACACACACCACACTACTCACACACACCACACACACCACACTACTCACACACACCACACACACTCACTCACTGTGTGTGTGTGTGGGGGCGGTGTGTGACCTGGGTGACGTGCTGTGCCGTGATGCCCTTGCGCTGGAAGAAGAGGCTCATCACGGCCGGGTCCAGCTCGCTCATCAGCACCTCCAGCGTCTGGTCCGGAGCTCGCAGATGAGGAGATGCGGGGAGCGAGCGGTCCAGAGTGTACAGGTACCTGGAGACACGGAGACACAGAGACACAGAGTGTACAGGTACCTGGAGACACGAAGACACAGAGACACAGAGACTACAGGTACCTAGAGACACAGACACAGAGTGTACAGGTACCTGGAGACACGGAGACACAGAGACAGAGTGTACAGGTACCTGGAGACACGGAGACACAGAGACTACAGGTACGTAGAGACACAGACACAGAGTGTACATGTACCTGGAGACACGGAGACACAGAGTGTACAGGTACCTGGAGACACGGAGACACAGAGACACGGAGACAGAGACACAGAGTGTACAGGTACCTGGAGACACGGAGACACAGAGACAGAGTATACAGGTACCTGGAGACAGAGACACAGAGACACAGAGTGTACAGGTACCTGGAGACACGGAGACACAGAGACACAGAGACTACAGGTACCTAGAGACACAGAAACAGAGAGTACAGGTACCTGGAGACACGGAGACAGAGACACAGAGTGTACATGTACCTGGAGACACGGAGACAAAGAGTGTAAAGGTACCTGGAGACACGGAGACACAGAGACACGGAGACAGAGACACAGAGTGTACAGGTACCTGGAGACACGGAGACACAGAGACACGGAGACAGAGACACAGAGTGTACAGGTACCTGGAGACAGAGACACAGAGTGTACAGGTACCTGGAGACACGGAGACACGGAGACACAGAGACACAGAGTATACAGGTACCTGGAGACACGGAGACACAGAGACACAGAGTATACAGGTACCTGGAGACAGAGAGACACAGAGTGTACAGGTACCTGGAGACACAGAGACACAGAGTGTACAGGTACCTGGAGACACGGAGACACAGAGTGTACAGGTACCTGGAGACACAGAGACAGAGTATACAGGTACCTGGAGACACAGAGACACAGAGTGTACAGGTACCTGGAGACACAGAGACAGAGTAAACAGGTACCTGGAGACACAGAGTGTACAGGTACCTGCAGACACGGAGACACAGAGTGTACAGGTACCTGGAGACAAGGAGACACAGAGACAGAGTGTACAGGTACCTGGAGACACGGAGACACAGACACACAGAGTGTACAGGTACCTGGAGACACAGACACACAGAGTGTACAGGTACCTGGAGACACGGAGACACAGAGACAGAGTATACAGGTACCTGGAGACAGAGACACAGAGACAGAGTATACAGGTACCTGGAGACAGAGACACAGACTGTACAGGTACCTGGAGACACGGAGACACAGAGTATACAGGTCACTGGAGACACAGACTGAGACACAGAGACAGAGAGACACAGAGACACAGAGGCAGTGTACAGTTACCTGGACAAAGACACAGAGAAACGGGGGACGTGGACCCCCCTAATGGAGCATCTTCCCCGGTTAGAAACATTCAGGCTGGCCCTGCCTAGGATCCATCCTGGGTTTAACCTGCAGGCTGGATTGTGCGAGGAGCTCACAAATCCTTGAAAGATCTGGACACAGTCCCATCGGCGAGCTCCTCCGGCAGGCAAGGCTGCGTTGGCTGGGTCATGTAGCCCGCATGCCCAGCCACCGCATGCCTAAAATATATTTTGTTTGGCCGGAGAGAGTACGTGGAGCTGAGTGGACTTGCCGATGACTGGTACCAGCGGTGTCAAGATCGGCTTCGGTGGAGGAGGCTCGTGAAGGACGCTGCTACTTGGCAGTGCCAGGCTAGGTGCACCTTCAGGCTACTGGGGAGTTGGAGGCAGTCGCCCTCCAGCAACAACGGAGGGGCAGAGAAGCGACGCTCACAACAATGAGCGGAGCGCCTCGTGACTAAGAGACAGCAAGTTGGCACAGTAGGTGGGGGGGTATATAGGTGGTGCATCTCAGTCTGTCGACCCATGGCACCTGCTGGGTCTGTCCCGTGCCCTCCTGCCAGCGGGCGTTCGACACTTAAAGTGGCCTCAACGTGCACATAGCCTAGCACAAGTGCCGTGGCGACGTCACCGCCACTTAGTGGCGAATGGCGGTTGTTGTTGAACGTGAGTGTGCGTGCGTGTGTGCGCGAGTGTGTGCGTGAGTGTGTGCGTGCGTGTGTGCGTGTGTGAGTGTGCATGAGAAAGTGTGCGTGAGAGAGTGTGCGTGTGTGTGTGTGTGTGGGTGAGTGTGTGTGCATGTGTGTGTGGCCGTGTGTGTGGCCGTGTGTGTGTGCGTGAGTGTGTGAGAGTGTGTGCGTGAGAGTGTGGGTGAGTGTGTGGGTGAGAGTGTGTGCGTGAGAGTGTGGGTGTGTGTGCATGTGTGTGCGTGCGTGAGTGTGTGTGCGTGTGTGCACGTGAGAGTGTGGGCGAGAGTGTGCGCGTAAGTGTATGCGTGAGTGTGTGTGGGTGAGTGTGTGTGCGTGAGAGTGTGCGCGAGAGAGTGTGTGCGAGTGTGTGTGCGAGAATGTGTGCGTGTGTGCATGTGTGTGCATGCGTGTGTGTGGTGAGTGTGTGTGTGTGCATGTGTGTGTGCGTGTGTGAGTGTGCGTGAGAAAGTGTGCGTGAGAAAGTGTGCGTGAGAAAGTGTGCGTGAGAAAGTGTGCGTGAGAAAGTGTGCTTGAGAAAGTGTGCGTGAGAAAGTGTGCGTGAGAGTGTGTGCGCGTGAGTGTGTGCGCGCGAGTGTGTGTGCGTGAGTGTGTGTGCGTGAGTGTGTGTGGGTGAGTGTGTGTGGGTGAGTGTGTGTGGGTGAGTGTGTGCGCGTGAGTGTGTGTGCGCGAGTGTGTGCGCGAGTGTGTGCGTGAGTGTTTGCGCGAGAGAGTGTGGGTGAGTGTGTGTGCGTGAGTGAGTGTGTGTGCGTGTGTGTGGGTGAGTGTGTGTGCGTGAGTGTGGGTGAGTGTGTGTGGGTGAGTGTGTGTGCGTGAGTGTGTGTGCGTGAGTGTGTGAGTGTGTGTGCGTGTGTGTGGGTGAGTGTGTGTGCGTGAGTGTGGGTGAGTGTGTGTGGGTGAGTGTGTGTGCGTGAGTGTGTGTGCGTGTGTGTGGGCGAGTGTGTGCGCGTGAGTGAGTGTGTGTGCGTGAGTGTGTGTGGGTGTGAGTGTGTGTGTGGGTGTGTGCGCGAGTGTGCCAGCGCGCGTGACCGTGTGCGTGTGAAGGATCTCACCAGCAGTCCTTGTTCATCGGTCCCATACAGTAGGAGGCTCCTCCTGATCCAGACAAAGACACAGACACACACAGTTATGCACACAAACAGTTGCACAACAACAACAACCGCCATTCGACACTAAGTGGCGGTGACGTCACCACGACGCTTGTGCCAGGCTATGTGCACCTTGAGACCACGTGAAGTGTCGATCGCCCGCTGGCAGGAGGTCACGGGGCAGACCCAGGTGCCACGGGTCGACTGACTGAGATGACTGGCTGATGCACCACCTGTGCCCCCTACTGTGCCAACTTGCTGTGCTTTAGCCACCCGGCGCTCCGCTCGTTGTTGTGAGCGTCGCTCCTCCGCCCTCCGTTGTTGTTGGAGGGCGACTGCCTCCAACTGCCCAGTAGCGTCCTTCACGAGCCTCCTCCACAGAGGCCGATCTTGACACCGCTAGTACCAGTCATCGGCAAGTCCACTCAGCTCCACGTCCTCCTGTACCACATAACTCCATCTCTTCTCTAGCCCGTACCGCGCCCGTTTAACCCCCTCGATCCGGCCGAACAAAAGCTGTTTCGGCATGCGGTGGCTGGGCATGCGGGCTACATGACTCAGCCAACGCAGCCTTGCCTGCCGGAGGAGCGCACCGATACTCACCCCGACGCTCACCCCCACCGCACACCCCCACCGCACACCCCCACCGCACACCCCCACCGCACACCCCCACCGCACACCCCCACCGCACACCCCCACCGCACACACCCACTGCACACCCCACACACCTCACACCCCCACACACACCCAGAAGCCCTCCCTGCGCCTAGGGCCTCCAGGCGACTGCAGCCAATTGTAGCGCCGGCACCCAGAGCAGACACAGACCCCCCCAACCACCCCTAAGGGGTTTGTGGTGGTCACTTAAATGTCAATGTCAAGCCACCCGCCCGGGGTGAGCGGCACCAACCGGTTACAAATGTCAGGAATCCCTGAAAGAATTTACAGTGTCAGTAATGATGTGTGGGTCTCTGTGTGGTGAGTCTGTGGGCCTGTGTGGTGAGTCTATGGGTCTCTGTGTGGTGAGTCTGTGGGTCTCTGTGTGATGAGTCTGTGGGTCTCTGTGTGGCGAGTCTGTGGGTCTCTGTGTGGCGAGTCTGTGGGTCTCTGTGTGGTGAGTCTGTGGGTCTCTGTGTGGTGAGTCTGTGGGTCTCTGTGTGGCGAGTCTGTGGGTCTCTGTGTGGTGAGTCTGTGGGTCTCTGTGTGGTGAGTCTGTGGGCCTCTGTGTGGTGAGTCTGTGGGCCTCTGTGTGGTGAGTCTGTGGGCCTCTGTGTGACGAGTCTGTGGGCCTCTGTGTGACGAGTCTGTGGGCCTCTGTGTGACGAGTCTGTGGGCCTCTGTGTGACGAGATTGTGGGTCTCTGTGTGGTGAGTCTGTGGGCCTCCGTGTGATGAGTCTGTGGGCCTCCGTGTGACGAGTCTGTTGGTCTCTGTGTGTGTGCGTCAGCGTGCGTGCCAGCGCGCGTGTCAGCGCGCGTGTCAGCGCGCGTGTGTGTCAGCGCGTGTGTGTCAGCGCGTGTGTGTCAGCGCGTGTGTGTCAGCGCGTGTGTGTCAGCGCGTGTGTGTCAGCGCGTGTGTGTCAGCGCGTGCGTCTGCGTGCGTGCGTGCGCGTCTGCGTGTGCGTGTGTCTGCGTGTGCGTGTGTCTGCGGGTGTCTGCGTGTGCGGGTGTCTGCGTGTGCGGGTGTCTGTGTGTGCCTGTGTGAGTACCAGGCAGAATGTGCTCCAGGAATGCGGCTTCCTCCTGGAAGCTACGGTGAGGGAACTGCTGTGAGCTTGGCTTCAAGAAGTTCTTACGCGAGTAGAAGATCTCCTGACAGTGAGAACCCACACACACAGACACACACACAATGAACACACACACACACACAATAAACACACACACACACAATAAACACACACACACAATAAACACACACACACACACACGCAGACACACTCACAATCAACACACACACAGACAACAACAACAACAACAACAACCGCCATTCGCCACTAAGTGGCGGTGACGTCACCACGACGCTTGTGCCAGGCTATGTGCACCCTGAGGCCACGTGAAGTGTCGAACGCCCGCTGGCAGGAGGTCACGGGGCAGACCCAGGTGCCACGGGTCGACTGACTGAGATGACTGGCTGATGCACCACCTGTGCCCCCTACTGTGCCAACCTGCTGTGCTTTAGCCACCCGGCGCTCCGCTCGTTGTTCTGAGCGTCGCTCCTCCGCCCTCCGTTGTTGTTGGAGGGCAACTGCCTCCAATGCTCAGTAGCATCCTTCACGAGCCTCCTCCACAGAGGCCGATCTTGACACCGCTGGTACCAGTCATCGGCAAGTCCACTCAGCTCCACGTCCTCCTGTACCACATCACTCCATCTCTTCTCTAGCCCGTGCCGCGCCCGCTTAGCCCCCTCAATCCGGCCAAACAAAAGCTGTTTCGGCATGCGGTGGCTGGGCATGCGGGCTACATGACCCAGCCATCGCAGCCTTGCCTGCCGGAGGAGCTCACCGATGGGACCCTGCCCAGATCTTTCAAGGATTTGTGAGCTCCTCACACAATCCAGTCTGGTTAAACCCAGGATGGATCGTAGGCAGGCCAGCCTAAATGTTTCTAACCGGCGAAGATGTTCCATTAGGGGGGTCCACGTTTCGCAAGCATAGAGAAGGGAGGGAATGACCGTGGCCGAGAAGACCTGAAGCTTAGTGCGGAGCGACAGACCAGGTAGCTTCCACACAGCGTTACGCAACCGATGAAAAGATATTGCCGCTCGACTGATTCGGAGTGAGACCTCTGCTGTTAAACTGGAGCCAGTCATAAGCACACTGCCCAGGTATGGCAAACTCTCCACTTTCTCCACAACTGCCCCATCACCGATTGGGAGTTGTGGGGGTGGAGTGTCCGATGGTACAAAATACCCAGGCAGGTGCTTAGTTTTGGTGGGGCTGATGGTAAGGCCCCACCTCTTAGTGGCACGCTCCAGTCTCAGCAGCAGCGTCTCCAACTCCTCCTCTGACTGAGCAGCTATTATCAAATCATCAGCACACATAACGTGGTTGAGCAATAGGGAGCCATCCCTTGACCGCACCAGGGCATCGATCAGCCTCCCATTATATCTGTACCATATGGAGATTCGCCTGGTACAGCTATTGAAGGCTTCACGAACTACATGGTCAAAATAGATGTTAAATAATGTGGGAGCCAGAGGACATCCCTGTCGCACCCCAAGGTGTACAGGGAATGGCTCTGACCTGCTCACCATCATGAAGGTCCTTAATGATCGTGAGCAGAGGGTCAGGTACTCCAAAAGCACGAAGAACGACCCAGAGCCCAGGCCTCCTGATGGTATCATAGGCCTTGACCAGGTCAATAAAGCAGAGATGTAGGTCTTGTTGGAATTCCCTACACCTCTGCTGTAGCAGACGGACAGAAAATATGGCATCTGTGCAGGACCGCCCTTTCCTGAAACCGCATTGGGGCTCCGCAAGCCTCTCCTCAGCGTGCCTGGCAAGGCGATGCTGAATAATCCTTGCCAGGACCTTTCCCGGCACACTGAGGAGTGAGATGCCCCTGTAGTTGTTACAGTCTGTGCGGTCCCCCTTCTTAAAAAGGGGGACCACCAGGGCATCCTTCCAATCCTGCGGAACCCGTCCAGTGGTCCAGACTGTTGTTATGATGTCATATAGGGCAGTCTGTGCACAAACGACACCCTCCCTCAGCATTTCGCTTGGGAGATCATCTCTGCCCGCTGCCTTTCCTGGTCTCAGACTCCGGATCGCCTTCAATACTTCCTCAGCAGATGGAACCTCAGCCAGCCACTCACAGGGGGTGACTTCATCCAATATTTGAGGCACCGCAGCCTCAGCACGGTCATCCTCACTTTGTGCCACGATGTTTTCCTGGCCGAGGGATTTTCCCTCCCCCAGGACCTCACAGAAATGCTCAGCAAATCTGCGAACCTGTTCCTGGGGGTCGGAAATTGGATCACCGTTTTTTCCCCTAATGATGGTAATAGGTGTGGCGCTGCAGGTTACTTTTTTGATGGAGTTAAATAGAGATTTGTGATCACGGGCCACTGAGGCAGACTCCATCTCCTCAGCAACCCGCGACCACCACCCATCCTTGCAGCGCCTCACGGCTCTCCGAACCTCCGAGCGAAGGCTGCGGTAAGCCTCCTCATTCTCTGACGTGGGATTCTGTAGCCGATGACAGTGGGCCTGTCGCTTTTTCTCAACCATCCTGAACAACTCCTCTGTCATCCAGGGTGTCTGGGGAGGTCTGGACCGCGTACCCAGAGCAGCCATTGCAGCTGCATGAGTCACAGTCCTAAACCTCGCCCATTTACCCTCGACATCAGGAGGAGTCGGGGACGATGCCAATCCCAGCCGCAAGCGATGATGAAATTCTCGCTTGCAACTTTCATCAGATAACTGAGACCAGGCCACTTTAGGTTGGAATGGGGTCCTGGGTGTACACCCACCACCGGAGTGGAAGAATGGCAGGCGCATCTTACAGATGACTAGTCGATGGTCAGAGGGCAGATCAGCTCCACGGTAGGTCCTGGTGTCAAGGACATGGGCTCGCATTCGCTGGTCCGTCACTATGTAGTCCAGCAGATGTTCTTGCTTGGACCCGGCATGCATCCATGATGTTGTGTGGATGCGCCGATGCCGGAACAGCGTGTTGGTAATTACAAGCCCATGGGCTGCACAAAAATCTAGCAGCCTCCTACCGTTGTTATTGAGCTGATCTGGCCCATGCCCTCCAATCACTCCAGACCAGGTGCCAGTATCATGACCAACTCGGGCATTGAAGTCACCCAACATGATGACTCTATCCCGAGGGGCCACTTTAGCCAGCACCTGTGACAGGAGGTCATAGAAGGCATCTGACTCATCGGCTTTGCCTGCATCCCTCCACGGATGTTCATCTTCGGTGGGGGCATAAGTAACCACGACCACCACCACTCAACACACACACACACCGACACACACAGACACACCGAAACACACAGACGTGGCGCTAGTTGGTGGCGGCACTAGTCGGCGGCCCTAGTTAGTGCTAGTTAGTAGTAGTTAGTGCTAGTTAGTAGTAGTTAGTGCTAGTTGGTAGTAGTTAGTGCTAGTTAGTAGTAGTTAGTGCTAGTTGGTAGTAGTTAGTGCTATTTAGTAGTTAGTGCTATTTAGTAGTGCTAGTGAGTAGTAGTAAGTGCTAGTGAGTAGTAGTAGTTAGTGCTAGTTAGTAGTAGTTAGTGCTAGTTAGTAGTAGTTAGGGCTATTTAGTAGTTAGTGCTATTTAGTAGTGCTAGTGAGTAGTAGTTAGTGCTAGTGAGTAGTAGTTAGTGCTAGTTAGTACTAGTGAGTAGTAGTTAGTGATAGTACTAGTTGGTGCTAGTGAGTAGTAGTTAGTAGTGGTTAGTAGTAGTTAGTGCTAGTGAGTAGTAGTTAGTGCTAGTGAGTAGTAGTTAGCAGTAGTTAGTTAGTACTGAGTAGTAGTTAGTAGTAGTTAATAGTAGTTAGTGCTAGTTAGTGCTAGTGAGTGCTAGTTAGTGCTAGTGAGTAGTAGTTAGTGCTAGTGAGTAGTAGTTAGTGCTAGTGAGTAGTAGTTAGTGCTAGTGAGTAGTAGTTAGTGCTAGTGAGTAGTAGTTAGTGCTAGTTAAGTGCTAGTTAGTGCTAGTGAGTAGTTAGTTAGTGCTAGTTAGTAGTAGTTTGTGCTAGTTAGTGCTAGTTAGTGCTAGTGAGTAGTAGTTAGTGCTAGTGAGTAGTTAGTTAGTGCTAGTTAGTAGTAATAGTTTGTGATAGTGAAGTGCTAGTTAGTGCTAGTGAGTTAGTAGTTAGTGCTAGTGCTAGCTAGGTGCTGCTAGCTAGGTGCTAGTTGGTAGTTAGTCCTAGTTAAGTGCTAGTTAGTAGTAGTTAGTGCTAGTTAGAGCTAGTTAAGTGTTTGTAGGCCGACCTCGATGTGCGTGAGCCCCGCGTGGCTCTCGGCCAGCTGGAGCAGCGGGCCGAGGGCTCGGAGCAGCAGAGTGGAGCCACAGGTCTTGAGGATCACTCGCCGTGACGACACAAACAAGCTGCTCTCACTGTCAACAACAACAACAACCTGTCAACAACAACCTGTCAACAACAACCTGTCAACAACAACAACCTGTCAACAAAAACAACCTGTCAACAACAACAACACGCCGAGGGCTCGGAGCAGCAGAGTGGAGCCACAGGTCTTGAGGATCACTCGCCGTGACGACACAAACAAGCTGCTCTCACTGTCAACAACAACAACAACCTGTCAACAACAACAACCTGTCACTGTCAACAACAACCTGTCAACAACAACAACAACCTGTCAACAACAACAACAAGTCAACAACAACAACCTGCCAACAACAACAACAACCTGCCAACAACAACAACCTGTCAACAACAACAACAAGTCAACAACAACCTGCTGTCAACAACAACCTGTCAACAACAACAACCTCTCACTGTCAACAACAACACGCCGAGAGCTCGGAGCAGCAGAGTGGAGCCACAGGTCTTGAGGATCACTCGCCGTGACGACACAAACAAGCTGCTCTCACTGTCAACAACAACAACCTGTCAACAACAACAACCTGTCAACAACAACAACCTGTCAACAACAACAACCTGTCAACAACAACAACAACAACCTGTCAACAACAACAACCTGTCAACAACAACAACCTGTCAACAACAACAACAACCTGTCAACAACAACAACCTGTCAACAACAACAACAACAACCTGTCAACAACAACAACAACAACCTCTCAACAACAACAACAACCTCTCAACAACAACAACAACCTCTCACTGTCAACAACAACAACAACAACCTCTCACTGTCAACAACAACAACAACCTCTCACTGTCAACAACAACAACAACCTCTCACTGTCAACAACAACAACAACAACCTGTCAACAACAACAACCTGTCAACAACAACAACCTCTCACTATCAACAACAACAACAACAACAAGCTGCTCTCACTGTCAACAACAACAAGCTGCTTTTACTGTCAACAACAACAACAAGCTGCTCTCACTGTCAACAACAACAACCTGCTGTCAACAACAACAACAACATGCTGCTCTCTGTCAACAAAAACAACCACCTCTCACTGTCAACAACAACAACAACAACCTGCTGCTCTCACTGTCAACAACAACAACCTGCTGTCAACAACAACAACAACACGCTGCTCTCTGTCAACAAAAACAACCACCTCTCACTGTCAACAACAACCTGCTGCTCTCACTGTCAACAACAACCTGCTGTCAACAACAACCTGCTGTCAACAACAACCTCTCACTGTCAACAACAACAACAACAACATGCTGCTCACTGTCAACAACAACAAGCTGCTTTTACTGTCAACAACAACAACAAGCTGCTCTCACTGTCAACAACAACAACCTGCTGTCAACAACAACCTGCTGTCAACAACAACCTCTCACTGTCAACAACAACAAGCTGCTTTTACTGTCAACAACAACAACAACAAGCTGCTCTCACTGTCAATAACAACCTGCTGTCAACAACAAGCTGCTCACTGTCAACAAAAACAACCACCTCTCACTGTCAACAACAACACAGACACTGCTGGTGTAGCGGCTGCAGAAGTGGTAGTGGTAGTTGTAGTAGTGGTGGTGGCAGTAGTGGTGGTTGCAGTAGTGATAGTGGTGGTGGTGGTTGCAGTAGTGATAGTGGTGGTGGCGGTTGCAGTAGTGGTGGTGGTGGCAGCTGCAGTAGTGGTGGTGGTAGTAGTGGTGGTGGTGGTTGTAGTGGTGGTGGTGGTTGTAGTAGTGGTGGTTTCAGTAGTGGTAGTGGTTGTAGTAGTGGTAGTGGTTGTAGTAGTGGTAGTGGTGGTTGTAGTAGTGGTGGTTGCAGTAGTGGTGGTGGTGGTTGCAGTAGTGGTGGCAGCTGCAGTAGTGGTGGTGGTAGTAGTGGTGGTGGTGGTTGTAGTAGTAGTAGTGGTGGTGGTTGTAGTAGTGGTGGTTTCAGTAGTGGTAGTGGTAGTGGTTGTAGTAGTGGTGGTTGTAGTAGTGGTGGTGGTTGTAGTAGTGGTCGTTGTAGTAGTAGTGGTGGTTGCAGTAGTGGTAGTGGTGGTTGTAGTAGTGGTTGTAGTAGTGGTGGTGGTTGTAGTAGTGGTGGTGGTTGTAGCAGTGGTGGTGGTAGTGGTAGTGGTTGTAGTAGTGGTGGTGGTTGTAGTAGTGGTGGTTGTAGTAGTGGTGGTTGCAGTAGTGGTGGTTGCAGTAGCGGTAGTGGTTGTAGTAGTGGTAGTGATGGTGCTTGTAGTAGTGGTAGTGGCGGTTGTAGTAGTAGTGGTGGTAGTAGTGGTGGTGGCGGTTGTAGTAGTGGTAGTAGTGGTGGTGGTTGCAGTGGTGGTAGTAGTGGTTGTGGTTGTAGTGGTGGTAGTAGTGGTGGTGGTTGTAGTGGTGGTTGTAGTAGTGGTGGTGGTATTAGTGGTGGTAGTGGTGGTGGTAGTAGTAGTGGTAGTAGTAGTAGGGGTGGTTATAGTGGTGGTGGTTGTGGTGGTTGTAGTGGTGATAATAGCTGTAGTAGTAGTGGTGGTGGTTGTAGTGGTGGTGGTTGTAGTGGTGGTGGTTGTAGTGGTGGTGGTGGTAGTCCGGCAAAAACAACCCCCACCTCCTCGTGGTGCCGGACGGCAACGCTGTGGTGGGCAGTGCCGTGGGCGGAGGGCCAATTTAGATTTTTGGACATTCCCCTCATGGCGTTTGTGACCACCACAGCGGCCAAATAGGGGCTCTGGATTGATGCGAGGGGCTGGCAACCCCTCCACCTTCAATTAACGACCTTCGCTCGGAGGTTCGGAGAGCCGTGAGGCGCTGCAAGGATGGGTGGTGGTCGCGGGTTGCTGATGAGATGGATTCTGCCTCAGTGGCCCGCGATCACAAATCGCTCTTTAATTCCATCTAAGTAACCTGCAGCGCCACACCTATTACCATCATTAGGGGAAAGAATGGCGATCCAATCTCCGACCCCTAGGAACAGGTTTGCAGATTTGCTGAGCATTTCTGTGAGGTCCTGGGGGAGGGGAAATCCCTCAGGCTGGAAAACGTCATGGGGCAAAGTGGGGATGACCTTGCTGAGGCTCAAATATTGGAGGAGGAAGTCACCCCCTGTGAGTGGCTGGCTGAGGTGCCATCTGTTGAGGAAGTACTGAAGGCGATCCAGAGTCTGAGACCAGGAAAAGCCCCAGGTAGAGATGATCTCCCAAGCCTAATTCTGAGGGAGGGCAGCGTTTGTGCACAGACTGTCCTACATGGCATCATAACAACAATCTGGACCACTGGACGTTTCCGCAGGATTGGAAGGATGCCCTGGTGGTCCCCCTCTTTAAGAAGGGGGACCGCACAGACTAACAACTACAGGGGTATCTCACTCCTCAGTGTGCCGGAAAAGGTCCTGGCAAGGATTATTCAACATCGCCTCGCCAGGCACGCTGTGGAGAGGTTTGCGGAGCCCCAAATGTGGTTTCAGGCCAGGGCGGTCCTGCACAGATGCCATATTTTCGGTCCGTCTGCTACAGCAGAGATGTAGGGAATTCCAACAAGACCTACATCTGCTTTATTGACCTGGTCAAGGCCTATGATGCCATCAGTAGGCCTGGGCTCAGGGTTGTTCTTCATGCTTTCGGAGTCCCTGACTCTCTGGTAACGATCATCAAGGACCTTCATGATAGTGAGTGGGCCCGGGTAAAACTACGTGGCCAGGAGTCTAAGCCATTCCCTGTTCACCTTGGGGTGCGACAGGGATGTCCTCTGGCTCCAACATTATTTAACATCCGTTTCGACCACGTAGTTTGTGAAGCCTTCGATTGCTGTACTGTAGGAATTTACATCTGGAACAGATATAATGGGAGGCTGATCGATGCCAGGGTGCGGTCAAGGGATGGCTCCCTATTGCTCAACCACGTTATGTATGCCGATGATCTGGTGATTGCTGCTCATTCAGAGGAAGAGTTGGAGGCGCTGCTGCTGAACCTGGAGGAGCTTGCCACTAAGAGGTGGGGCCTAACCATCAGCCCCACCAAAACTAAGCACCTGCCAGGGTATTTTGCACCATTGGACACTCCATCCCCACAACTCCCAATTGGTGATAGGGCAGTTGTGTGTGGAGAGAGTGGAGAGTTTCCCTCCATACCTGGGCAGTGTGCTCATGACCGGCTCCGGTTTGACAGCAGAAGTCTCACTTCGAATCAGTCGAGCGGCATTATCTATTCATCGGTTGCATAACGCCGCTGTGTGGAAGCTACCTGGTCTGTCGCTCCGCACGAAGCTTCAGGTCTTCTTGGCCATGGTCATTCCCTCCCTTATCTGGTGGTTGTAGCTGTAGTGGTGGTAGTGGTTGTGGTGGTTGTGGTGGTAGTGGTTGTAGCTGTAGTGATGGTTGTGGTTGTAGTGGTTGTAGCTGTAGTGATGGTTGTGGTTGTAGTGGTGGTGGTTGTAGCTGTAGTGATGGTTGTGGTTGTAATGATGGTTGTGGTTGTAATGATGGTTGTGGTTGTAATGATGGTTGTGGTTGTAGTGGTGGTGGTTGTAGCTGTAGTGATGGTTGTGGTTGTAGTGGTGGTGGTTGTAGTGGTGGTGGTTGTAGCTGTAGTGATGGTTGTGGTTGTAGTGGTGGTTGTAGTGGTGGTGGTTGTAGCTGTAGTGATGGTTGTGGTTGTAGTGGTGGTGGTTGTAGCTGTAGTGATGGTTGTGGTTGTAGTGGTGGTGGTTGTAGCTGTAGTGATGGTGGTGGTTGTAGTGGTGGTGGTTGTAGCTGTAGTGATGGTTGTGGTTGTAGTGGTGGTGGTTGTAGCTGTAGTGATGGTTGTGGTGGTGGTTGTAGCTGTAGCGATGGTTGTAGTGGTGGTGGTAGTGGTTGTGATTGTGGTAGTGATTGTCGTGGTGGTATTGGTGTTTTGTATTGGTTGTGGTTGTATTGGTTGTGGTGGTAGCGGTGGCCATGGTGGTCGTGGTGGTTGTAGCGATTGTTGTAGTGGTGGTGGTTGTGATTGTGGTGGTGGTTGTGATTGTGGTAGTGGTTGTGGTGGCGGTTGCTGACCTCAGAATGTAGGCGTCGTGCTGGTCAGTGTGGCTCTCACTCATGATGAGGCAGTGGATCGTCTTCATCAGCTCATCCAGACGGTGCCTAGACAACGCAGACCAAGACAAAGATCCCCCGTGTAGCCTTAACAGACTGTTGGAGCAAGTGGCTGTTACACATATACACACACACACACACCAACAACTGCCATTCGCCACTAAGTGGGGTGACGTCACCACGTCGCTTGTGCCAGGCCATGTGCACCCTGAGGCCACGTGAAGTGTTGAACGCCCGCCGGCAGGAGGTCACGGGGCAGACCCAGCAGGTGCCACGGGCCGGTACAGCCATAATGTAGGAGCCAGAGGACATCCCTGTCGCACCCAAAGGTGAACAGGGAATCGCTTCAACTCCCGAGCACGTAGTTTTACCCGGGCCCACTCACCATCATGAATGATCATGAGCAGAGAGTCAGGGACTCCGAAAGCACGAAAAACAACCCAGAGTCCAGGCCTACTGATGGTATCATAGGCCTTGACCAGGTTAATAAAGCAAAGATGTAGGTCTTGTTGGAATTTCCTACACCTCTGCTGTAGCAGACGGACAGAAAATGGCATCTGTGCAGGACCATCCTTTCCTGAAACCGCATTGAGGCTCCGCAAGCCTCTCCTCAGCGTGCCTAGGAAGACGATGTTGAATAATCCTTGCCAGGACCTTTCCCGGCACACTGAGGAGTGAGATGCCCCTGTAGTTGTTACAGTCTGTGCAGTCCCCCTTCTTAAAGAGGAGGACCACCAGGGCATCCTTCCAGTCCTTCGGAACCCGTCCAGTGGCCCAGACTGTTGTTATGATGTCATGTAGGGCAGTCTGTGCACAAACGCCACCCTCCCTCAGCATTTCGCTTGGGAGATCATCTCTGCCCGGTGCCTTTCCTGGTCTCAGACTCTGGATCGCCTTCTGTACTTCCTCAACAGATGGCACCTCAGCCAGCCACTCACAGGGGGTGACTTCCTCCTCCAATATTTGAGCCTCAGCAAGGTCATCCCCACTTTGCCCCATGACGTTTTCCAGCCTGAGGGATTTCCCCTCCCCCAAGACCTCACAGAAATGCTCGGCAAGTCTGCAAACCTGTTACTGGGGGTCGGAGATTGGATCGCCATTCTTTCCACTCATAATGGTATTAGGTGTGGCCGCTGCAGGTTACTTTTTTGACACAGTTCAAAGGTGATTTGTCATCATGGGCCACCGAGGCAGATTCCATCTCCTCAGCAACCCGCGACCACCACCCATCCTTGCAGCACCTCACGGCTCTCCAAACCTCCGAGCGAAGGGTGTGGTAAGCCTCCGCATTCTCTGACGTGGGATGCTGTAGACGATGAGAGTGGGCCTGTCGCTTTTTCTCAGCCATCCTGAACACCTCCTCCGTCAGCCAGGGTCTCTGGGGAGGTCTGGACTGTGTACCCAAAGCAGCCATTGCAGCTGCATGAGCCACAGTCCTAAACCTCGCCCATTTACCCTCGACATCAGGAGGAAGGAGGGAACGGGACGATGCCAGCCCCCAGCTGTAAGCGACGATTAAATTATTGCTGGCAACTTTCGTCAGCTAGCTGAAACCAGGCCATTGTGGGTTTGAATGGGGTCCTGGATGTACACCCACCACAAATACGCACAGACACACACCAAACACTAAGAAAAAAGGTCCCCCGTGTAGCCTGTGACAGACTGTAGGTGAAAGTGCTGTTAGTGAGTAGCAGTGCCTATGACGGCTACCGGCACTGTGGCAACACACAGAGGGGGTGGGTGGCTAGCACCACCACGCCCGGCCGCCTTTGTCTCTCCCCCAGCGCTAGCGATGTTCACTACACCACCACCGCTACATCACCACCACCACACCACTACTACACCACCACCGCTACACCACCACACCACTACTACACCACACCATTACTACACCACGACCACTACCACTACTACACCACCACCACACCACTACTACACCACCACCAAACCACTACTACACCACCACCAAACCACTACTACACCACCGCTACACCACTGCTACACCACCACCACCACACCACTGCTACACCACCACCACCACACCACTGCTACACCACCACCACACCACCGCTACACCACCACCACCACCACACCACTGCTACACCACCACCACCACCACACCACTGCTACACCACCACCACCACACCACTGCTACACCACCACCACCACACCACTGCTACACCACCACCACCACACCACTGCTACACCACCACCACCACACCACTGCTACACCACCACCACCACCACACCACTGCTACACCACCACCACCACCACACCACTGCTACACCACCACCACACCACTGCTACACCACCACCACACCACTGCTACACCACCACCACTACCACACCACTGCTACACCACCACTACTACACCACCACACCACTACTACACCACCACCGCTACACCAGGGTACTCATTTGATGCCGAGTCTACCTAGGGGAGGAGGCCCAGGGGTCTCTGCTGGGTTCGTAGCGCAGCGTGGCGCTGACCGCTGCGCCACCGCTCCTCGTCCACGACAACAAGACCCAGGATGTTTACGTCTTCACACACACACGGCAAAATAAACTAAACTATTTAAATTTTACCAGGGTATAAGCCCCCCGCTGAGCTGCCGTGTAGCTACTTTTTCAGAAGCGGCCTGGCCATCACAAACGATGGTAGCTCAAGCGAGTGGCGGCTTTTCATCATCAATCATCATCATCATGTGGACGTCTACAGCAGCAGACAAATGCGCGTGGTGACGCCGATTCTAAAATGTGTAGGGGGAAAAACATCGGAGGACCTGGACAAATATTCACGTGACCATCACGTGGAGAGTGAGAGAGTGAGATGCAGACGCCAAATATACAGCAGCAGCAGGCGGCATGGTCAGGGTCGGGATCGAACCTACAACCTCCTGTGTACCAGGCGAGGTAGTTAACATCTCCTAGCCACCATGGCGTCAGGGTCGGGGTGAGTGGGTGGGTGGGGGAGTGAGTGGTTTGGTGGGGGAGTGAGTGGGTGGGTGGGGGAGTGACTGGTTGGGTGGGGGAGTGAGTGGTTGGGTGGGGAGTGAGTGGGTGGGTGGTAAGGTGAGTGGGTGGTAAGGTGAGTGTGTGTGGTAAGGTGAGTGGGTGTGCGGTAAGGTGACTGGGTGTGTGTGTGGTAAGGTGAGTGGGTGAGTGTGTGTGGTAAGGTGAGTGGGTGAGTGTGTGGTAAGGTGAGTGGGTGAGTGTGTGGTAAGGTGAGTGGCTGAATGTGTGGTAAGGTGAGTGGGTAAGTGTGTAGTCAGGCAAGTTGGTTTTAAGGTGAGTGAGTGGGTGGTTTGGTGGTCAGGTGAGTGGATGGGTGGCAAGTTGAGTAGGTAGGTGGTTAGGTGAGTGTGTGATAAGGTGAGTGGTTAGGTGGTTCGGTGAGTGGTAAGGTGAGTGGGTGGGTGTATGGTAAGATGAGTAGGTGGGTGTGTAGTAAGATGAGTGGGTGAGCTGTTTATAGATGTCAGGTGCCCCAGGGATATGCAGGTGGGTAATTGGACAGACCAACAACAACCACACCCCATGTACACAAAGAAATATCCCCCTCGTGTAGCTTGTAACAGGCTGTTGGGGCAAGTGCTGTTAGCGAGCACCTATGAAGGCTACCGGCTCCGTGGCACACGAGGGGGTGGGTGGCCAGCACCACGCCCGGCCGCCTTTGTCTCCCCAGTGGTGATGTTTACTACACACCGCACCAGGTACTCATTTGAGGCCGGGGGAGGCCCAGGACGGGTTCGGATAATCGTCGCTGGTGGTGTTGGCCATGAGCGAGAATCGAACTCGGGTCGCCGGGTTCGTAACGCAGCGTAGCGCTAACCGCTACTACACTACCGCTCCCCACGCACACACACACACGTGCACACACACAGATACATAGAGACCCGTAGCCTAAACTAACCTCGGAGATCGAACGCACCAGAACTCGAACAAATCGGTGTTTCCGAACAATTTTGTTGCCCCGGTACACCGAACGAGAATCGGAGGGTCCCACGGGCAATCGCGTCCTGAAAGAACCCATTAGGCTGAGACTCGCGGTGGCCCAACAGCGTGCAAGACGCTGGCCCAGACAATAACACCACCACCACCACCACCACCTCATCACCACCTCATCACCACCTTACACTCAAGCCATCAACTCTCCTTACTACAGGTAAAGTGAAGTTCAATGTTCACTTATTTCATTTATTTATTGCGTTTCTTGTTTTTTTGCGTGATCTTACACGTGCAAGTACTGCGAACTTCGTGTAAAAATATTCTTGGTTCTTTCGGTAAAGTCACCACGTAGAAGGGAAACAATACGATAAGAAAAATATAAAACAATAAAATTCTCACGACGTTTCGACTGCAGCGCAAGCAATCATCATCAGGTGCGAAAACCACAGCAAGAAAATTTGAAAAAAAGTGGCGGTCATTTTTAACGTCGCGAGAATTTTATTGTTTTATATTTTTATTATTGTATCGTTTCCCTTCTACGTGGTGACTTTACCGAAAGAACCAAGAATATGAACCCCTGCAGTCACGAGAGCTTTAAATAAAAAAATAATTCGCGTAAAAATGCTTTATAAATGAGAGTTTACTTGTTCCTGGAACCAATTAATGTCATGTACATTAATTCTTATGGGGGGGGGGGATTAAATCGGTGTTCGAACGGCCTTCTGGAACGAATTAAATTCGATCTCCAGGCTACCACTAATTTTTACTTTACAAGGTAGGGCCCCAGACAAAGCTGCTGTTGAGCTCTCTTCAGAAGCGAGCTGCCCATCACAGACAATAGCAGCTCAACCGCTCAGCGTCGTCATCACGTGGACATTGATAGCAGCAGCCAAAATAATCTAAACGCATAGACACCCACAGAGATACACAGAGACCCATAGAGATACACAGAGACACACAGAGATACACAGAGACCCATAGAGATACACAGAGACCCATAGAGATACACAGAGACCCATAGAGATACATAGAGACGCATAGAGATACAGACCCATAGAGATACAGACCCATAGAGATACACAGAGATACACAGACGTAC